GGCTATACTGCCGCTATAGTTATCCGTTGGGGCATCAAATGGACTCCGAATGCGATGAAACTTGGTAGGTGGTCTATCTACACTATAATAAGACCACACGCCAACTTTCATCCCATTCCGAGAACTTTTTCCGGCCACTTATAAAATAATATTTCGGAGGTGCCGCGGGCGCGTGCAAATGTGTCTGGGCTCAAAACGGACAACGGAAAGAATGGGGATACCAGGACGGAAGCAAGTTTTGAAAACATGATGATGCAATGCACATTATGACATGACTAGATGCAACACGCAAGCGAATGACATGGAAAAGACAGCGAACAACTGGAAGACACCCAACACATCGGTCTCAGGGCGTCACATTAAGTAGAGGCATACTAGGGACACTTTGTTTTGTCTATGTATTCACACATGTACTAAGTTGCTGGTTAATACAATTCTAGCATGAATAATAAACATTTATCATTATATAAGGAAATATAAATAACAATTTTATTATTGCCTCTAGGGCATATTTTCTTCAGTACGTATAGTAGACATGATCAAAGCAACATGTCTAGATCAATTGGTAGTGCTAATAATCCAGAAGCAACACATACAACGCGGTACCATTAGCAACGAGTGACATGTTGATGAAGAGGTCGTCGACGTCGAGGAAGTAGTCGTGTGGAACCATCGGAGAAAGAATCCAGTAGTCACGCTACCTAAAACATGACTGGCCCTCTCCCCCTGTAGGATCACAAGAAGCGGAGTTCGAGAGGCCCCTGCCGTCTCACTTGGCATAGGTTCTTCTGCTGCTCGGCCCTCTTGTCAAGCTTTTAGTGGTGTGTGAAAAAATCCACCTTATGTCATGTCCAACACTGACACGCAAATATCTTTGGTATATGTCTGTTTTTATGTCCGGGCATGGTCCGCGGACATGATGCAGGAGGGAGCCATCTAATGCTAATCACAAAATATCCTGTTGGGAGGAGAAAAAGTAGGAGAGGACTATCCCTGTGGTGGAATATTTATGGTTTAGTGTTCGGTTGGGAGGAAAGAGAGGAGAGAGGGACCATGCATGTGCGGTTAGGAGAGAGAAAAGAGAGTGACCATGCATGTGATTGGTCAAGTGCATGTCCCGGCTCCGGGAAAGCCCCCACGTTTTTCTCTTTGGATACCGGAATCCGTACGTCAGGACTGATAAGTTAAAATATAAAGGTCCCCATTAGATGTCAAAAATGGTCTGGACACCGTGGTCCGGACATATAGCAGAGGTTTTAGGGTCCACCTTGGAGATGACCTTATATGTTTTTTTGCGAGTATCCAACCTGATACTCCCTTCGTTTCTTTTTAATTTGTATATAAAATTTGGTCGAAGTTAAACTTTGTCAACTTTGACTAAGTTTATAGGAAAAAAATCAAAATTCATAATATGAAATCAATATTAATTATTAGATGCATCACAAAATTAATTTTCCTACCATGTAGTTTTAGTATTGTAGATGTTGACGTTTTTCCTATAAAGTTAATCAAACTTTACAAAGTTTGATTTTGGTCAAATTTTACAGGCAGACTAAAAAAATTAAGGGAGTATGTTGGCTTCCAATACCTCCACTAGCATGATCAGAGTAAACTTTACGCACTCTCTTATCATGCATGAATGGACTATATGGGCCTCTCGGATTTTCCCCTATGAAATATTAAAAATAATAATGTCCAAATCACAATAATTCCAAGTTTTTTGTTTTTTAATGTAGCAGTGCACTGAAATAGTCATGCATTTAGTCGAAATCTTAAAAGGCCGTTGACATATGAACTTCCAATACACCCAAATCTCGGTAAATTCCCGGTAAATCCACACAATGAAATTAAAAACCCAGTACGTTCCTTGGAGACCACTCTAGGGGGAGAGTTGGACGTGGTAAAAAGTTGACATGTTTCAGGATGTTGTTAATCCGCGGCCAGATAAAATTATCATGCAGAGACGCGTCCGCGTGCGTGTACTCTTCCTGCTGTTCCCGTGTTCGGAGAATAGTAGCTGCATTTACCTAATATTCACCTATCTGATTGATCAATCAATGTAGCAACAGGGGATATAATGTCATGAGTTTTGACTAATGTGCATGAAAGCTCAAAGGTAAACGAAGACAAAAGATATCCATTCATAAACAAATCATATAACTACATAGAAGAGCGAAACTTCTTCGGAAAGAAAATCATAAACAGTTGGTGTAGATCTAACACGACTTTGCGCTGGCCCGGTCATGCATGCCTCACAATATATACTGCGAAGAACGTGCCTAGGATCAGTCTCGGAAGCTTTCTGTTTTGCTGAAGGTTTTCTTTTTCAAAAAGAAGGATTACACCCTGCCTGTGCATAAATGATGCATGCAGCCATCTTTATTAGTTTACTTTCTGGAGTCTGACAAAATGAATACAAAGATTCACCCAAAGCCACCTTTGAGGCGAAAGGTCGCTACACCAACAAATATAAAGATGAGCCTTGACCACATCAACGTACACGATCTAATCCAGTAGCAAGCCCGCCCACTTGGCAAGCTGAGAGTACCAATCAGTCTAGGCGTCCCACAACGCGCACGGCAAGCGCACGCTCTAGGACTCGCTGTCGCCATCTTCCACCGCCCCATCTTTAGGAGGGATCATTGCATATATCTTGCCAGTCCCATCTGCCGTTGACGTCACCATGACGCCAGACAACACCACCAGCCTGCGCGCGTCCATCCACAAGCGCCCGTCAGCGACACTCCACTGCACCATGCCACTAAGTCCCATCGTCGACCTAGCAATAGATATAACACTACTCCTCCTCTTGTCCTCTCCGGCCAACTCCTGCTCCAAAACAATGCCCCCATGAGGGAGAACGACATCGAACCTCCAAGAGACAAGATCTGGGGTTTCCCTCGGAACATCTCTATCGTATTGACGCAACTTGCAACAATGATGCCTCAACAGGGGTCTGAGACCCGTCATCGTCCACCATGACCGAAATCGACGCGATTTTCATCAGAAATAGCGCCACCGCGATTTCGCCGTCAACTGGACCCGAGCGCCCCCTCGCCATGTAGACATGTGGTGTCGTAGGAAAGCAAGTAGAGGACCTCCGGCCCCATCATGCGCCGCCAGCCGGCCAAAGCCAAACCACGACGGATCTAGACGGAATGCCAGATCCACGACCACCGCCTCCACCCATCGCAAAGCAGAGGAGCCCACGGGAGCACCTCGCTGTCCATGGGGTCGCTGGCTCCCGCCGCATAGCCAGGACACCGCCATGGCTGCCGCACGAGGCACCCCAGTTGTCTCATGGGAGATCCGCCACAACCCTCCTAGCCTAGCCTCTTTGGCGCCGGGCACCGCCACCACCGCGGCCAGCGGCGGCTGGGATCTGCCTCGCGGGAAGACTAGCAGCGTGAAGGATTTGGTCCCCCTCGCGTTGGGTCGGGAGTGGTTCATCTGAAGATAACAATTATTTCCACATTGCATGGAAGATGACTATGTAGCTAATGCAAAATTTGGGTAACATTAAGTAGATAGTGACATACATGCATTGATGACTGAGTAGGCCAATTTTTTTTTTGAATTATTCAAAATTCCTACTTCTCGGGTTCAAAAAAATCTGAAATGTTTTGCACAAGTATACAAGAATGTGATGTATATGTGTGTAAAATTTCAGGATGAAATACCTTAAAATGCGAGTTGTGTAAGAAAATAAAATCATGGACTTTGAGGATGAATAGTGCATGTACTCCCTCCGTTTTTATTTAGTTCGCATATTAGCTTTGGTCAAAGTCAAGCTTTACAAACTTTGACCAAGTTTATATACAAAAATATTAAGATATACAATAACAAATCAACAACATTAGATTTATTATTGAATGTACTTTCACATCGTATAGATTTATTATGATAAATGTCTATATTGTTTTCTATAAACTTGGTCAAACTTTACGAAGTTTGACTTCAGTCAAATCTAATATGCAGAGTAAATAAAAACGGAGGGAGTATTAAAAAACCGCAAATTTGTTATTTTTTGTGTGGCACTCATTTTAATGTATTTTATCCTAAAAATTTACACACTTGTACATTATGTTTCTAAATATATGTGTATTTTTTTCAAAAAAATATTAAAACATATAAATATGAATTTTGATCATTTCAAATTCGGCCTCCATGGAGGCCGAGCTTCATCCAGCATTTTCGTTGATGACCGCCATATATGGTATTATATCTGCATTCATACACAGTGATGGATTCAGGAATTTAGGTCACATTTAAGTCCTCAAAAAAATTATTTGCAAATGCAAGACTAATCTATCAAAACTCGTGAAATTTAACTACTAAAAACGTGAAAAGGCATAGAAACTACTAACATGGACACTTGCGACTGAAAACATTCACTTGCTGCCATTTTACTAAGGGACCACCTATCCATCAGGTCTGTGTTTCTTTTTACATCGATCACTTTTACGCACTACTGTTGGATCAGGAATAAACGACGAGATCGCCTTATTCCTCCTCCAACCGTTCTTGTTCATCTTGTTCCTCCAACAGTGTAGCCCCCTTCTCTCATTGCGGCCGGCTGCACCACCCTCCGCCCTCCGCTCGACCTCACCCCACTGTCGTGCTGGCTGCCGACGTCCTACCTCGGCCTCACTCATCAATTTGCTGGTTGCTACGGTGGACTGTCACGAATGGATTCATCAATTTGGTACGCGAAGCTTACTGTCACGAATGGATGTCGGTTCACTTTAGCTGGTGTTAGGTGGACGGAAGAGCGATGCTCATATAAACAAGCGGATCTGGTCTTCTAGTTGACTCGGTACTATGCACAACACGCGTAGCCAATTTTTTCCCTAACTGCTACATGGTGCATGAGTATATAAGCACCTGTCCAGCCAGCCATCAACGCATCACCACATCCATCTCTAGTTTGTAAAGAATCTGGAGAGCCAGGGCAATCAAACTGATCCATAGTTAGTTGCTTCGAGAATTAGCTTCCAGCCATGAGGTTCTCCACTTTAATGTTTGCGTGGGCTGCGGCAGTGCTGCTCGCCGTGGCCACCTTATCGGCGGTGGCGGACGCATCGCCTCCGCCGTCCAAGTTTCTGAAGGTCGGCTTCTACAAGCACACGTGCCCCCAGGCCGAGGACATCGTGCGCGACGCCGTCCGCCGCGCCGTCGCCCGGAACCCCGGCTTCGCTCCTGGCCTCATCCGCATGCATTTCCACGACTGCTTCGTCAGGGTAAGCAACGATCATACTCCCTTCGTTCTTAAATATTTATATTTCTAAAGATTTTAACAAGTGACTACATACAAAATAAAATAAGTATCTACATTTTAAAATACGTTTGTATATATTCGTATGTGATAGTTCATTTGAAATCTCTAAAAAGATAAATATTTATGAACAAAGGAAGTACATACATTCCACCACGTGTACATGCATGTACCTGATCTGGCCGTTGGTTTTGTTTGGTTCCACACATGTAGGGTTGTGACGGCTCTTTGCTGATCAACTCGACGCCGGGGAACACCGCGGAGAAGGACTCGGTGGCGAATAACCCGAGCATGCGTGGCTTCGAGGTCATCGACGAGGCCAAGGCAGCCCTAGAGGCGAGCTGCCCGCGCACCGTCTCCTGCGCCGACGTGCTCGCCTTCGCGGCGCGCGACGGGGCATACCTTGCCGGCGGCATCAACTACCGTGTCCCATTTGGTCGCCGTGACGGCCACGTGTCAATTGCCGACGAGGTGCTCAACAACAATGTGCCGCCTCCAACTGATGAGGTCGCGCAGCTCGTGGCCAGTTTCAAGCGCAAGGGACTCTCCGCTGACGACATGGTCACGCTCTCAGGTGCACACACCATCGGTCGCTCTCACTGCTCCTCCCTCACGCAGCGTATCCACAACTTCTCCGGCGAGGTCGGCCGGACCGACCCGTCCATTGACAAGTCCTATGCGGCGGAGCTGAGGCGACGGTGCCCTCCATCGACGGACAACCCGAGCGACCTCACAACGGTGCCGCTGGACCCGATCACACCGCGGGTGTTCGACAACCAGTACTTCAAGAACGTGCTGGCTCGCAAGGTGCCGCTCACCTCCGACCAAACGCTGCTCACCAGCCCCCGGACTGCCGGCATCGTCGCGTTCCACGCCTCCGTGGAGAAGGCGTGGCGGGCCAAATTCGCCGCCGCTATGGTCAAGATGGGCAATGTCGAGGTGCTCACTGGTCACGAGGGGGAGATCAGAGAGAAGTGCTTTGCCGTCAACCACCGCTAGTCAACCACTCTAAAACCATTCCTATGCATAGCTAATATAAATATACATATGCTTGTGTGTGCGTCAATCGGAGTGTACTTATGTTATTTATGTATGTGATGTCATTTGTAAACTGATTTTCTTGTTAGTTGTTTGTGTATGTCAAAAAGAATAATACTACATGGAAAAAATATTCGTTGTGTATGGGTAATAATTTTCAAAGTGATTTGTTGTTGGTTGTTTGCCTATGTCAAAAGGAGTACATAGTACTATACATCAGAAAGAATAATTGTTTCCCCGGCAAAGAAAAAGAATAATTGCTTTGTATTGGTAAGATTAGTTTTTTGGTTTATTTACATAGCTACAAGTGTCACCCGCAAAAAAGAGAGTAAAAGTGCCTAATGCTCCATTTTTTGTGTTGAGGGTTAGTTCTTCAATAAGAACATCAATTTTTCAGGGGAGGGGGGACTAGACAAACCAAAATAGTTAGCTAGCTATTTGGAATGGGGCCAGTGAATTTTTTTTTTTTGAATACAAGAAGGCGCCAAGCGCCAAGATTCCATTCATCTCAAAAGCATAGTACAGCGTGCATTACATATCCCTGCACTTGAAAGTTTTGAAGATAAAGCAAAGTTGGGCAAAGAGAATTGCTTTGAGAGGAATGAGTACAGCTAAAGACAGATTCTACTCTTGAGTTGAGAACCTAATGAGCACAATCATGAGCTATGCCGTTGATGTTCCTGTTAATATGGTAAATAGCAGTCTGGATAGAGGAAGTGTCCTGAAGAAAATTGCTAATTGGGGTGCGACACCCCCAGTTGATCGAGTTATCATTGATGTTTCTTGAAGCAGCCATCTTGGCCAACGAGAGATTATCCGTGAAGAAAGTAGCCTGCTGAATTTGCAGTTTTGCGACTACTCTTGCTGCAAGTTGGAGCGCCAATGCTTCAGCACATAGAGGGGAGTGAGCATCACTTGTAGAAGCTTGGATCATGATTTTCCTTTCAATCTCGTGTCCTGAAATGTGAATGAACACTCCAATCCCGGTTCCCAGTCCTTGTGCTCGGCCTGGGATGTTCTTCTTTCGCCAAGAAGCATCAGAGTATATTTTTGTTCCTGTAATAAGAAAATCTGATTTGACAGTATACCCTTGCATTATTTGTTCGTCAACCTGGACTTGAAGAATTTGCCGAGTATCAGTTCTTTGGAGTGAGGAAGAGGCACAATCTTCTTGGTGATCCTGCAAAAATTGAGCTGAAGAGATGGCAGCAGCAGCAAGCAGAATATAGTGAGGAAGAGATTCTTTCCTGGAAAAGAGAGCATCATTTTGTGCCTTCCATAAACACCACAAAAAGGTAAAGATGTTAGGTATAATGGCATTCGGGTAATTTGAGGCCATAAGAGAAAGAATGATATCCGGAATGATTAAGTGTTCAGCAACAAGAGAATCTGCTCTAATATGCCAAGGATGAGTAAACCATGCAGCCCTTGCAAAGTTACAAAGAAAAAACAAATGCACTTGGTCTTCCTCCAAATTGCATCTAGAGCAAAGGGTACTGATGTGTATAGAAAACTTACCAGCCCTAGCACCAGTGGGGAGTGCACGCCTGAGAAGCCTCCACACAAATGTTTGAATTCTAGGAGCCATGTTCTTTTGCTTCCAAACTTGTTGTAAAATGTTTTTGACAGCTATAGCAACTTGGTGAGGTTGGTTTCTCCGTGCCTCATATATTTCCTGCAAGCAAAGTTTGTATGTGTTTTTGGAGTTGCATTTACCTGATGGTGTAAGGTTCCAACAAAGGATGTCCCTGCAGTTGTCAAGAATAATAGGAGTAGAAATAATAGCAGTTGCAGCAGGCTCCTGAAAAAGGATTGGTTGTTTCTATTTACCGCCCTGGTCAATGGATATCTACGAAAACCTGCCCCCTAGCGTACGCATGCTACAAAGGACGACCTATTCCGGGGTTTTTTCTATGTCTTTTTCCAGCCGTTCTTGAGAAGGTTCGAGAACCTTCCCAGGACTTTTTCTATGTTTCTTTTTAACAATCTTTCATTCCATTTTCTTTTTATTTTTCAATTTTCTTTTTAAATTTTTATTTCATGAACATTTTAATGTGTATATTTGTTTGGTTTGTTTTTTCTCTTTTCTCTTTCCTTTTTCATTTCCACATTTCAAATTTGGGAATAATTATCGAAAATTGCAAAAAATAGTTCTCGGATAATTTTTTATTTTTATGAACTTTTTTTGATTCAGTAAACATTTTATTTAATTTGCCAACATTTTTAAATTTTATAAACATTTTTCTGATGAATATTTTTAAAATTGATGTTTTTCTAATTTAGGAACATTTTAACAATTCATGATCATTTTTTGAATTGGTAAACAACTTATAAATCCATAAAGATTGTTTGAAATTCTTGACTATTTTCTAAATGACTGAGCATTTTTAAAATTTATGAACATTTAATAAAAGTCGGGATAATTTTTTAATCAAAACCCTTTTTCAAATTCTTTATTTTTTGGAAACCTAATTTTATTAAATCTTTAAAGATTGATTATAAAATTTGAGCGAATTATTTAAAATTTAAAACATTTTCCCAACTTAGTGAACATTTTTTGCAGTTCAGTTTTATTTTTAAAAAACCCAAGTAGAGAAGCA